TGACTGAAGGACAGAAGCAGGCAGTGCTGCTGGCAGGTGGCGTGGCAGGACCAGGAGAGAGCACTGGACCTGTGCCATCAGCTTGTCCATCCCAGAGCGTAGGCTGCCATTGGGAGGGCAGCGGGGCAAGGTGAAAGTGTCCTTGCTGAGAAGGGAAGGGACAGGTGGACAGACAGAAAGACAGAATCCAGAGCCTTGCAGCAGCTACAGAGGCAGGAGACAACTATGTAAGGAAGAGCTTGACAGAAGTTTGTGGCAGTCAGCGTTGCTGAGGCTGGTTCTACCAGGGTACAGCCTAAAAGCTGGGTATCACTCATTTCATGACTACAGAACAGTAAGAACGCCTGATATTTTTAAGGTAGGGACACACATGGGATCTACATTATTGTACCATTAAGAACTGGTTTCAAGGGCAAACATAGCAACTCCCATCTCTAGGATCAGGGATGAACCACATGTTAGCAGGACAGTGGGTTTTGTCCATGACTGGAAAATAATTCCACCATCTTCTTTGCCTGAGAAACATATTTGCAAGAACCTTATAGCAGTGACACATAAAATACATGTCAATGACCCTGGACTGATGTCAGGAATTGTTTCCAAGATGGCAATCCAGAGACAGTTGTGAAGCCCCAAATGGAGTATTTGAGGGCAGTTACTCTGAGAAGGTGACTGTGTGCCAGTAAGCCCTGGGGATCATGGTCTCACTTCATGACTTATTCTTGCTTTTTGTTTACTGCACTGCTGTGGCCAGGCCCCACGCTGATGTCTCATGGTCTTTCCTTCCACTCTGGAAAAAAAGTTCCCATGGTCTGGAGATGTGCCATCATCAGTCTTACAAACTGACACCTCCTGTTTAAATTGCAGCAGTGGGCAGCCCCCCTCTCAGGGCCTGTCTCTGGATGACATGAGGAGGACCTTCCAGTACCCACCTGTGGACAAGAACGGTGAGCTGCTGCAGAGTGCTCCCCGCGCTGCCGGGGCATGGGGCAGGCTGCCATGCTGGCACTGCGGGGGGGCTGGGGAGCACTCTGTGCCAGCTGCAGGGACCCTCTCTGCTCTGCAGGCTACGTGTCGGACCCCTTGAGCACCATGAGGTTCCACTCCTGCAGCAGCAGCTTGGAGGACAGCAGCTGAGGGAGGGAGCGTCCACCTGCCCCAGCCCAGCATCACCGCGGAGCCCTGAGTGTCACACTGCCATCCCTGGGCTGAACAGCTTTGGTGTTGATGACAAATGTCCCTGTCCTGAATTCTGCTTTTGCATCTCCCTCAGCTGACCACCCCGTGCCCTGCAGCACCAACTCTGACCGTGGGGCATTGAAAAAGAGAAGAGAGGCAGGGCAGCAGAAGTTGAACTCTTCCTCTAGAAGCAATTACAGAGTTAATCACACTGATATTTTCTGGGGTCTTTTTTTCAAAGTAACAAAAGTTATCTGCAATACTGTCTGTGTGGCCAAGGCAGAGCTGCCTTCCTGGCTGAGCAGGAATCTGTATTTCCCATTGATGGCAGGGTTCTGTGATGTGATGGAGGATGTTGTTTCTCTGCAGCCATGATCCCTGAAGCGGGCCTGCAAAGAGGCCTCAAGCAGTGTGACAGACATGAGCTATGACTGCATGGTGGGCTCTGACAATGGCACACCTGCCATTACTTCAATAGTGCTGAAGCAATAAAAATGGGGAAGATTTCAGTAAGTAAAGCTTAGAGGTCGTTTTCCATTTGTTCTGTTTCACTTGCTGAAAAGTTGAATGGGAGGAAGCTGTTACAGCTCTGTCACAGCTCTCCCAGCAATGCCCAGTCAGTGGTTACCACTGCTCCACTGGGCTCAGGTGCTGTTCCATTTACAGCAGCAGCTGCTGGGACAGTAGAAACGCCACAGTAAATACGCAGGAAAGCCTGGGAGGGGCTCACCAGGACCCTGCTGGACCCTGTCTGCAATCTCCAGGAAGTCACGAGATTCCCATGGAAGGGGCTGAACAAGAGGAACGACAAAGCTCCAGCAAACCACAACAACACAACATCCAGATTTGTCTACAACTGGAGGAAATCTGTTGTATTTTTTCTAGGAGTACAAGCAAGGTTGGCAGTTTGCATGCTGTGAGGGAAGAGGGGCAGAGCAGAAGCGAGAAGCTGCATCTGGGATGCTGATGAAAATTGCCTACCTGACTCTAATTGGCCAGATGATCTGCTCCACATGGCTGAGCTACAGAAGCACAGGCAGGGAAGAGGCTGATGAAAGAGGGTGGGTAGAGATAAGGTCTCATTCCTTGGTCTTTGCATTGGCCAGAAACACCATTGGTGCAGAAAGGATCCACTGTCATATCTGAAACATCAGTTCCAGCACAGATTGTTTTTCAACAGGTATCTTACAAATATCTCTGCATTCTTTTTCCCTTGCTTAACGTAACCAGGCAGTGACTGCATTCAGTGACTGGGCCTGAAAACCAGAAACTAAACTGGATTAGAAAAACAAAAGTGGAGCAAGGAAGCAGACTTCATGGGCATTAATACCTCTGTGTACTCACTGATACCTGAGCTGCTGGTGTCATCCATGAGCACCTTCTCAGAACATGTCAGAGGGGAGCACAGGGAAACAACAACAACAAAAAAATCAGAATGCAAAACTTTTTTAGTTTAAAAGCTCTTTAAAAAGACAAGTGCTTGCAACTAATTTTAATACTAATTAAAATTACTGGTTCCTTGAAGGATACAATGTCTTAGTTAATTGCTCTCTATAGCAGAAAATCAGGCTCGGGGGGAAAACGTGTTTCATAGGAGTGATCACTTAGTGAAACAAACAAAAACTCTGAAATATGTAAATGAGTAGAACATGTTCCACAGCAGTTTGTGAGAGTGCAAGTAGCCTGTGCTGTTCCCAGAGAAGCCCCAGCACTCCAAAATATTTACCAAGAATGAGATGCTCAGAGGATTCTTACCCTGTTTTGGAGACCTGCCAGTGCCTGGCAGCTGTAGTGATATTTTAAATTGTTTAACATATCAGCAATAGGTGATCTAGATTAAAACAATCTGGCGTCGAAACAGACAAGGGTTTGGACAGCAGCCAGAAGTGAGCCCAGCAGCAGGTGCCAACATTCCCCAGCACAGCACAGCCAGGACAGCCAGAACAGCACAGCCAGGACAGCACAGCACAGCCAGGACAGCACAGAACAGCCAGGACAGCACAGGACAGCCAGGACAGCACAGGACAGCCAGGACAGCACAGGACAGCACAGGACAGCACAGCCAGGACAGCACAGGACAGCCCAGCCAGGACAGCACAGCAGAGCCAGGACAGCACAGCACAGCACAGCCAGGACTGCATGGCTGGCACAGCACAGAGGGGCTGCCTCAGAGGCTCAGCCCCAATGGGCAGGCAGAGGAGTTGGTCCTGTCTGGTTTGTACAGCTGAGCCCCAAAGCCACGCAGCAATTCCCAGGCAGGAAACCCACCTTGCAGCCCTCGTTTCAGACAGATGGATGAGCTGCCCATGCTGTGCACCCTCAGCATCCTTGGTGGTGTCTGTGAGTTAATGCCAGGGCTTGGTGCCCATTCCAGGAGCTAGACTTTCGACTTTTCCCATCTTTTGTCCACAGTGCACAGCTGGCATGGTTTTGAACTGATTCAATGCATCTCTTCAGCTGTGGAATGTCACCAGGTTCCAGCTGTTTGAGGCACATCTGAGGCACAACCATCAGAAGCCAATGACAGGCAACTGAAAATACCTGACACTTCAGGGAGTTAAAAAAGCCTTCATGATGAGCCAAGAATGAGTTTTGCCAGTGGCAACACTGTTGGATAGTTTGCTTTGCTCACATATGCTCACTTTAATAATTAGTCTTTTTTTTCTTTTTGCTGCACATCTTGTTTTTCCCTAAGTGCAACCTACTTTTCATTTTAAAGTTAATTACTAATTAGCACAATATAGGAAAGCAGAAAGGACTATGGGAAGCTTTTCCAAACCTATACAATTACCATTTCCATGGGTTTGCTTATTACCAAACTTCTGCCTGCTCAAGTGACAGGGACACTAACATTTTGGAAGTCCACATATATGTTCCTAACCACAGGATTCTTTCCCCCAGCTGTTACAACCATACACATAAGTGTCACTTATAAATATTTCAAGACTGTTAAATAATGATCTGTCAGTATTCCAGTTCCTTACAGTCACACTGCTCCGTTCATCAAGGCCTTCTCTGATGCCCTGGTTCTCCTGCAGCCCCAGAGGGGCTCCCAGGGAATCCCTGCCAAGGCAAATCCCTGCATCCCTCTCTGTCTCTGCTTACCTGTCCCCGGGAATTGCCGCCCCTGGGTCCGAACACCCAGGTGTGGCCACACCTGCAGCCCTGGGCGTGAGCTTTAGAGGGTACCTGCACAAGGCAGCTTTAGTGGCACAAACACTCAGCCCAACATCAGTCAGCCCACTGGCAACCAGAGGCAGACATTGAAGCTCAGGCCCTGCTGCACTGGCAAGGCTTATTCCTACAGTTAAACCCCTGGCACAAACTGAAGGAGCTGCACAGACTGGTACAGGTGTTTAATAGGCCTGAGTGAACACATAGGCATGGGTATGGACAGAGCAAACACAACCCTCTGAGACGTGCAGACTAAACACACACATGCAACCAGCTCTAGTACAGGAATGTCTCTAGGAGCAAACACACAGCAACCACTTGATCACGTTTGAGTTTCCAGTTCCACGTACATTGATCTGAAGTGACTCACGGCACCAATCTGCTCAAAATCCTGCTCATTTCAGCGTCTTTTCCCTCCTTGTAAAGGCAGCTACAGTCCCCACTCTGTGGGGCTGAGTCTGCTGCACCCACCAGGCTTGGAGTGCCTACAGGCTGCTGCACACCCAGCCCCGAAGGGGTTTTGCCTGGCCCAAAAGGGTCCTGGGGCCCCTGCAGCAGAGCTGAGAAGAGCCTTGGGCAGCAGAGAAGGGCAGCCAGGCTGAGACAACTCTGAACTCACCACCCTCCTGGCAGCCTCAGCTGAGGCTCCACTGACTCCTCCTGAGTGACTCCAGCAAAAGCAGAAGGTCAAGCTTTATGCATTTACAAATACCTGTTGCAATTGTTCTGATTTAACAAATTTCAACATTTCCACGTGCTGAGAATGCCCTGGAGTGTGGCCAGCAGCAAGCCTGTATGCCCAAGGGGAGGGAAGCCCCCCACACGCTCCTGGCACGGGGCACTGTGCAAGCAGGAGGGCTCCCCTGCCCTGGGATGGGTGGGCAAGGTCCCAGGATAACAGCCCTGCCTGCCTGCAGGAGCAAGCGGCGCCTAGGGGAGGAGGGGAAGTTCAGTCAGCCCAGTATTTCTCTGGTTTTCAAGAAAAACAAGGCAGACAGCTGTGGAACAATCCTTGCGATTACTGTCCTCGTCCTTCCAAAGGCGCGCTGCTTCCCGGGCTGGCAGACACAAGCTTGTTCCAGTTGTCTGCTGCACGCTGAGGAGCTGCTCCAGTGAAACGTGACAGGTGGCTGCGCTACTCACAGGGTGAAGAGAGAGAGGAGCGACATCCCAGCCGGCACAAACCCGCGGCCAGCTGCGAGCATGTGGCAGGACACAACACCGAGGGGCTGCAGGAAAAGCTCAGAGCAGGGTTTCTTCCCCATCCTCTTCTGACGACATGATGAGTGGGTCTGGGTTTGCACTATCCTACAAAACAACAACCAAACATCACAGAAAACGTGCTGAACTCGGAGCTGCTGAGGTACTGCTGTGACATCTCCTACAAGGAGAGGCCGGAGTCACAGGGAAGCCGAATGCTCCCAGGGCTCACCCGATGCCACCACAACTGTGACACGCTCCCGGAGGGGAGGGAGGGCGGAGGGCTGTGAGAATTAGTGCCACAGCAAAGGGATTTATTTGCACGCGATTTGGGGAATAGGAAATAACGCAGAAGCCGCCACTCAAAAGGACTTATCACCCCCTGATCCAGCTACCGTCAGCAGGCATTTGAGGAACGGACAAGGAATGGGACGAGGTGGTGCATCCCCAGGAATGAGCCTGGGCACTGCCGGGGGCAGTGGCTGCCCCAGGCAGGACTCACCTGACGGGAACTGCAGCTCCTGTCGCCCCCGTCAGCGGCTGCCGGGACACTC